TGTCTTTCCTTTGGGATTTCATCAAAGGATATCATTTTCAAAACAACCTGCTTGTTTGATTTTATAAGACCTGAATGCAAAAAGTTATTGATATTGCTGTAAGTTTGTAGTATGTTGTTTTGGATAATATCTTGAAAATCTTATAATGATTATTATCTTGATCTCATTTTCAGGTGTGAGCTTTATTGTCAATACATGTATTTTGATTATTACAACTGTTCTATTTAATTCAAGCAATAATGTCACACAGTTTATGATCTAATTTATAGGCCAATAATACAATTAAAGCATGTTTTTTTTTAATAATTCACATAAGCAAAGTCACAAAATCATGTGATAGATTTGTTCCGTTTTAAAGTGATAAAAAGTTACACAAATGTATTTGACACACACATGAGTTATTCCATTATATTACCAAAATATATTACTGTAATGAGTTAATCGTAACTTACTTACTTACTAATTGTTGCATCTGCAGATCTAGCAATATTATCAGGATTTTGGTATATCAAACTTTTGAAAAAAATAATACTTTCGTACATATAAAACTTCCATGATATGGGGAAAGTTTGTAACTCTAACATACTTTTGTGAAGATAAGTTATGATATACTTTCTTTTTTTGTTAGCATCTGAGAGATGATCAATGATCTGATGCTTTTTTAATTCTATCCTTTCTAGAACCAAACAAAATGGACCGAATCCCACCTCATGTAATTGTAGAAGCTTATGTTCTGCTCTATTAATTGTCTGTCAAAGATTGAGAGCAAAGATTAAATTTAATTTTCAATTGCTTTTCCTGGTTATACATCCCGTTGAAATATATCTAAAAGACAAAGTTTATTTTGAAAAGAGTCATATACCAAGGATTAGAAACATTTTTTAGAATGAAATTGTGTCTTTATCAAATACAGACCTATTTATAGGTTTCCTCTGTATAAGATGTTTGTCTTAATGTTGCTAACAGTTTTAACTTAATAGGAGCATTGTGGGTTTGAACTGGAAGGGCTTTGAAGTCTCTTTTTACAGATGGTAGAAAGGATTTATAGTAAAAATCTGTGCATGATCAAATGGTCTGTATATCTAGGGCATTCCTTTAGGGATATCGATGTTCGAAGCCAACAGAAGAAGGGACAAGATCAGAGAGATATTCTGGAGTGAGATTATCTTTCATTTTGTAAAATAAGATAAGTTTATGAATGTTCCTCCTTTTTTCCAAATTTTCTTATCCAATTACAGACATAAGATGGTCAATAGAGACGAGTTTAGTTGTTCCTGTCACTATTTTTGCAGCTTCATGTTGAATTTGTTCTAGTTCCGTTTTTTTTTCTAATTTGGTACAGTTATCAAATAAGACATTTCCATATTCAAGGATAGGTCGAATAAATGAAAGGTAGATGGTCTCAGGAGACTTCCGGTCAAGTGTAAATTTCAGTTTTTTCATTATATGTATTTTTGGCCAGGCTTTAGTTTTAGTGTAATCAAGATGTGCTGACCAGGGAAAATTATTTGAAAGAATTATACCTAGGTGTTTATGATAATTTATTTCATTTATTGCTTGACCCTGCATAAAAATGGACGGATGAATTTCTTGTCTTGTTTTACGGGATATTAACATTGATTCAGATTTTGTAGGATGAAATATGACTAACCATTTATTTGACCACCTGTTTATTGTTTGCAAGTCTGCATTTAGAATATTGGAAGCTGATAGCGGATCTTCAACAATAATGAAAGGACTAGTATCGTCAGCGAAAAGCCTGAATGCGCCTACGCTTGTCGCTTTTAAGCGCAGTCTTAACAGCGAAGTAACAAATATACCAAATATCTTTTACTATAGTGAGCAAAGAGACCAAATAATGTATACCAGACTTCGAACCAATTGTAGCTCTGTTGCATCTGATTTATTTGATAAGAATATTGCCGAGTCTCCATTGTGTGATTGTGGGGTGGTTGAAAATTCCTAAAAAAAATTTCTTTATTTGTCAAAAATATGTTCATCTACGTCCCAATCTACTAAACACTCTTTCCAAATTTTGCACTCCAACTCTGCATGTTATTCTTTATGGAGACCCTGTGTTACTTGCGGACTCTGCTACCGTCACCGCTGTTCATAAATTTATAAGAGATACCAAAAGATTCTAACATGTAATATAGTAATATACTAGTTGTCATACAACATAGTGTTCACGCAAGTTTGTTCCATACTTGTTTTCGTACCAAAACGACAAATGATATAGAAGCATCCACAAACTCCTGTTTTCTCCATCGTTCTCTTTATTATTTTCTATCAATTGCATACATGTATTTGTGTTTGTTATTTTTCTCTCTATTTTCCGTCTTTATAGGGTTTAGTTACAATTATGAAAAGCCATGTATTATATGAACATATTGCTTATGTTAAAGGAGAGGACTACCATGAGCTATTGCAGCTCTCGCATATTATTTTGCATAAGGCATTGTTTCGTAAATCCGTACCAAGATTTTTCAAATTATAGCCCTGTGGTGTAATTTGGCCCACCCTGGGGGTAATGTGTTTTCCTTATTATTATGTATATACCGGTAGTAAAAAAAATTTTTTTTTTCTGCAAAATTACAATAGCTATAGCCTAGGTATTAAGCATGAAACATGAAGTTTTTTTAAGTTTATTCAAATAGAAGATTTTGGCTCAAATTATTGAGACTGCCAAAGGCAATTCCATTTCTTCAAATCATAGTTGAATTATCAAAAGGAAACAACTCATGTTTTAATGTCTTTCGTACATGTGTACATGTATGCAATTTTTATGAAAAAAAAACAACAAAAACAATTCAATGGCTGAGAGTTAGTATAATGGTCATGGCCTTTTGATTTTTAGAGATCTTGGTGAAATGATTTAAGATAACAACCTCTGGCGAGAAAGCTGCTAGCTTTGCAAGAATTTTTATGAAATAATTTGAGCACATTATCATGATAAGGACATTATGATTCCCTCCATGTATATAATGATGATTTTAAATTGTAACTGTTTTCAGATTTAGGTAATGTTTAATTGTAAAGATAGTATTTAAAGCTGCACACCTCCAGACAAGCCAAGATGTTTCAATAATCTAAATATGTAGAAAAATGTTTTAAGATCTTAAGAAAAGTAAAAGATTCAATATTCAATTAATTATTCACGTGTTATGTGCGATTAATGACTGATTTTGCAATATCAATCACTATTTTAATTCTACTGCGTTACAAACGCAGTGAGAGGTATTTATGTATATTTTGACCTCTTTTTGATAACTTACGTGGATTGAAAGTGCCGTTTGTAATTTGTAAATTACTTTCTTTGTTCATGTCATAGTATTTTACTTTTAAATACTTCTTTTTTTAAATTTTCATGAAAATTAGCAAGAATCTGGAGGCATGCTCCTTTAAGAGCGATAACTGTTATTGCATTTCAAAGTTTAATACAGCTGTGTTATAAAGTAAATGCCTATTTTTTTTGTCAAGTAAGAATTATTTTATTTTGAATCAATTACACTATGGCCTTTGTATCTGAACAGTAAGAATATCTGCACAATGGCTTTATATATGTTGAAATATGACCTTGATTTCACTAGACCGTACTGCATTATGGCAAAGTTCAATTATATAGAAATAAAATAAAATTTCTGTTCCTACAATTAAGTGTTAATGGGGTTGCATAGTATTTTTTACATGAAATTTTAATTATGTTTTGTACAAGAATATGAAGTTTTCTTAGAGAATTCATTGTTAAAATATTCTTCCTCCAAAGTTTTTGGTTTAGAAATGTAAGAAACTTGTTTGGCATGTACCCTGTTTGGTAGTGGCTGTAGTGTACCCTTTGAGGTGTCCATTATTTTTAATGATATCTTTGATAATTAATTTATTTCGAACATTAAAATAATCTTATTATTTTTATTTTATGAAAAAAAAAAACTTTTGAATTTCCCAATATTTTTGACTACCTTATTTCTGAATGCACCAGTTTGTCTCAAATGCGCAAAGAGTTACACCATTCTCTACCTTTCATATCTATGAATTTCTGTATAGGCTTAATAGAAGGGGTATGATTAAAAATGGAGAAAAAATAATAAGAATGTTACAAATTTGTTTGATAGTGTGTACCTCCCTTAATTACCTCCTTTAATTACCTCCATTTATTCACACATATTTTTTTTTTAATTTTTACAATCATATACAACATTATTCATACTATATTCATATGATTTTGATTTGTTTCATATAACATTAATTAATTTTGAGTATTATACCATCCATTGAATGAATGATTGATAGATAATTTTCATTTTATATAAGATATACTGAATGATAGCGATGTTTCCAAATTATTTTCTCCCTTTTACAATTTCAACATACAATTAAAGCAAGTTTGTTTCGAATTTATAAACTGTTTCAACTGTTATTTTCATACTTGTTGTAAATATTTACTAGCCTAGTTTCTCTATGAAACTATATGTGTCTTTTGATCCAGTTATTTTATGTAATTCTTTTCGAAAATTAAATATGTAAAATAGTTACGATTATACATACATATGCACATGTTTTATGGTATAAACAGTAATAGACGTTTTATCTTTTTTGTAATAGTATAAAGTTTCTTGTACGCGCCAAATGTGGCGTCTATTAAAGAAGGCGTCTGTTTTGTACGTTCACGTCATTTTCTTTATGTAACAACTGACGAAGCTAATAAAGCGAAACATATATTGATATCTAAATTTATGTTGGATTTTAACTTTTTGTCCTACGATAGTTTGTAAAAATTTCATATTGATAATTTGTAAAAAGTTGTTTTAATCAATTAATTTACACAACCAGATAGTCAAATATCTGCAAAATCTTAAAACAAATATTTATTGCATATGTTTTTCTTTCAGTACTTAAGGTTTGGTTGAAATTAAATGGATGTTCTGTAGCATAATAAAATCAAGTCTGTCTATAAAAACAAGATAAAATGAACTGAATGACTGATGTCTGTGTAATTTCAGGTACCACAGTACCACCAACTGCTTCTACTACATCAAAACCAACTCACTCTACAACAATCATAGTTCTAAGTGTTGTTGGAGGGGCTATTGTAATTCTAATAATATGTATCATAGTCTGCATACTATTAAGAAAAAAGTCTAATAGAGAGAAGAAATACAGTGCTGACCCAGAAAATGAAAAGATGCCTCAAGTAGACATAAATGTGACTAAGCAACAGTAAAACAAAGTATTATGACAATAACGATGTAACGATGTTTTGCTTATATTAAAAATGCAATACAAGATATCTAAATGAAAACACATATAGAGCAGATACCATTTCTAGATTTCTAAATTGTTAATTCTAGTTTTGAAAAAAATGTTAAAAAATAAAAAATACCCAAAAGTATTTATCTTGCCTTCCATTATATTACTATATTGAAGATATTCAAGAATGTTTGGAAAATTTCCTTGTTGAATGATTATTTGGTACCTACTATGATAACACTGTAGATAAATACATTTGAAATGTTTCTGAGGTACTTAAAGTGTAAATCCTATGTAATGAGATATATTTTGTTATGAAATGTATTAACAGTAAAATTGCATTGTTCCATAAACTTTGGATTCTCGAAAGAGTTGTACTATAAGATTTCGTTTATATTTAATACACATGAATATTGTACATAAGTATAGGCCATTCTATTCTGAAGAAATATACTCCTTTAAAATAAGATAAAAAAAAACAATAAAAACTATAACATTTTCAGCAAATAAATTGATTGTGACATAATGTCCATCAAAGGTATATAGTAAGAAAACAGGTGAAGTTCAAAGTAAAGTAACATTTTGCCAAAATTACTTTCAATGTTATGTTTGATTCGCATGCACGAGAGGAAGGAAGTTTAGTTTATACAAATTTATTTTAGTTCGATTGTATTGGAAACTATAAGCGTTTTGAACACTCCCGAATCCGTTCCTTAATCCCGAATTCCTTCCTTAAACCAACCAGTACTGAACAATTAATCTAAAGTTACTTGCTCAAGGAAACAACGGTTTTCTTCTGACAGGGTTTTAACCCACGCGGTCAGCAATTCTCAGATTTGAAGGAAGTTTATGTAAATATCCATCGAAATTCACCAGTTGCGTTCAAAATGAATTGGGTATATTTGTTATATTTGAGGCAGATTTATATTTTATTCTTAACATTTGACAATGTCGACTGTTGGTCGATTACCATTTTATCAGTCAATCTTTTAAAATATATTGCCAATTTGGTCAACATGACAATACAAAATGAGCACAATGTCACTATAAACTATGTTGTCTATATCAAAAGACGTGTTTAAAGGTCAACAAAGGGGAACAACCTGCTCTTACTAATATTGTAGCTTATTTGTCTTTTATACTCGATATGAAATACATGTAAGCATACTTTATGAGACTGGACTATATTTAGAGGCCTTAGACTGCATTTTAGTTAAGAGTGTTAAGTGTTATTGACAGAGTGATTACACTTACTATCTCCTTTTAAGACAAAGATACATGGTTATATGGAAAATTTATGAAAAATCAAGATGGAAGCAATAGAATGTTCATTTTGTCACTGTCAAACTGAAATAACTCAGTTGTATATTTAAAAAAAATTGGACTGTCTAATGACGATTGTATAATAATTGATAATTACAAATGTTTAGGATAAAATATATAACTGCCTAAAATATGAAAAGACTGATCAACTATTTTCATAAATTTAACATAATAATTTCAAAAAGAAATATATAAATATTTATGTCGGTCACGGGGATTATTTATTACTCAAGTGACGTTAAGTATAAGGTTGAAAACAAATATGACAAAATTTTAATATTATTTACAGTAAAATGCAATGAACCTCTATCATATTAACTTGATTTCCAGCGTTATTCATCGTTCTACCCATTTAAAGGTATATAATGAGTGCATTGGTGGAAATCAAAATAAGTTTTTGTGATAATTCCTTTCAATTTTATAATTTCCTTCGCACGAATGATGAATAACTCACGTAAAACAAGGAAATGTCTGTAAATATCCGTCGGAGTTTATCTGCAATGTTAAAATTATAAAAAGAATTTGGACAGTCTTTTAACATATTTGGCAGATTTATCATTTAATCCCAAACATTTTCCAATATCAACTGTTTACCAATTTCCATTATAATTGTCACTCTTTTGAAATATGAGCGAAATGTCACTTTAGTGGTGTAAGTCTTGTTTAATTATCTTACGGGTCCTGTGCTTCTAAAGTAAGTATATTCCATAGATTAAAATTATTTTGCCGAAAAGTACTCGTACAATGAAAATAAATTTAACAGGAACATATTGTTCATTGAGTAGTTAATTGGCTCCTCAGTAAATTTCTTATTTTTCGCCTTCTTAATATTTGGTGTTCAGTGTTTCTTATTCGGCATGCCACACATACAAGGAAAGAGTATCTACGAGGCAAATGTCTCTCTCTTCCATTTTACTTGATAAAGTGTAAGGTACTTAAAATAGAAAGTTGAGTGTTCTTTCAAGGATTAAAGTTCTGTTATTGCATGTTTTCTGTATGTTCTTAATGCTTAATGATTACTATAGCTGCGTTTGGGTAATATGATAATTTTTGAAATATACAATGTCAAAATTTAAAGTTAATACGAAATACCAAACATGACTGAACCCTGTCCTTGATTACGAGTTTATTCCATATAATGTAAAAACACAAGATTGAAAATCATGAGACTGACATAAGTAAGGCTATTATCTAATACTGAGTTATTGAAGCAAATATTATAGTTCAATCTATAAAGTCAGAGTGGAACAATCTTTTTATAATTAACTTTAACGGCAGATAAATATATTATTCTAAACATTTTTTTAAAAACAGCTGTTAGTCAGTCACAGTTAAAACAGACTGTAAGTAAATCTTTTGAAATATATAGTCCATTAAGCAGAACTTGACAATTAAAAAGTGGGTATATCCCTTTAACTGACGCACCATCTGTATGATGTTGTTTTTTGTCTGTGTAACCTTCTTAAAGCAATAGATATGTATTTTGTAACTCGCATAACCAGAACTAAAAGAATGGTATATTAAAATATATAGCAAGAAAATGTTAAAATAAAAGCAAACTCTCTAGGGGTCTGACACATAATGCAGAAACACTTTATTCAAGACGAAATCAAAAACAACCGTGCGAAAGCATTCTAACTGCCTTATTATGGTGTATAGTGTATGGGTGAGAATGCCCGGAAGAAAATTTCATATCTCAATGGGATATAGCTCAGAATATGTATGATATAATACATTTTTTGTGGAGGCTTTTGATATTAGGACACTGTAGACGTTCTTGATTTATTTCGAAGAACATAAACACACCAGACACTGAACAATGTAACTTATTCATCATATTACATACTAGTAATGAAAATAATTAAATAGTAAATTTAAAAGAGTATGAATCACGATTAAAACGAACTAAACCCTATCCAATGAACCAAAACTGACAAGCTACAGCTTATGATATTATATGACTACAAATTTTCTCTTGTTGCTTTTGACAGTCCATATATAGAGAATATTATATGAGAGAAAGATGTATACTGAATTTGTTGAACGAGTTGTATAAAATTATATTGTTCGAGCCTCTGGCCAACATGTAATTATTTTATTCAACGAGTTGAATAAATTAAGTAATGAATCTACACGAAAATAATATTCTTTTAATCACATAACAAATTAACCACCTCAAAAGAATACAAAATTAAAATATTTGTTTTATTAACACCAAAGTTGTAAGTTTAAAGACTTCAGGTTATCTTTTATAATTAAATAGGCGTACCATACCTCAACACTAAAATAATGATATGATTTTACTTGCTGATGAGACTGCCAGTGCACTTATTGTACTAATCCTCTTATTTAAGGCATTTTCCCGGAATAAATATTCGTGAAATACGTGTTTGTCATGCTCTGAGACTCTGTTAATCCTGACTGAAGAGAATACAGATTATAAATATGAAAATCACGTTATTGTTTCTCTGCACGTGCCATTCTCTTAATTAATATTTTAAAAAGGTTATAAAGAATATACAAACTATTAAAACATGTTATTTATACCGATAACACCAAGACTCTACAATAATTTAAGGGTACGCTGTAAGAAAGTTTTCATTTCAAGTTTCATTTTTTCCAATTACTATTGAATATTGGAACAAAATTGGCAGGTTCTCCTAAAAGTATTTTGATAATATTGTCACCTGTTGGAATTTGCTTCTGCTTAGGGAACTATATATTTTGCTTGCGTGTATTTATCTAGCATTTGAATTGTGGAGTATGTGTTTTGAAATCCAGGTTGTTCCAATATGATACGTAAATGAGGTTATAACAAATTCATCGCAAATATAGGTTTCAGATATTATGGCTGCTGCTTTTTACCGTTAAATACCAAAATTGAATTGACTAGTTAAATGAAAAAGTTTAAATTAAAAAAGCAAGCAATTATTCCCAAAGTCATGTAGTTTAGGATTATCGGACCGACGTTGATGTGGAGGTTTAAAAACATCAATAAATCAATTCAATACGAATATTTTATGCACTTTATTGATAATAATAAAAATTGAACATATTAATAATCCTACGTATTAGGATAAAAATTCATTTGACAGAGAATCCATTATATCCAGAACATGATGTAATTTCAGTACCAACATATACTTCTTAATTTTGCTATTGTATAAAGTATTTGTTTCCGCGGGTTTACAGAATTATCTAAATGCATGCATGCATGTGCATATATATGTAATAACATGATATGCTAAACACATAAATACATTTGTGTTGTATCAGCGTATGCTATCATACTACATGTGTACAAGGTGTGTATCACGTCGCCTCTCGAGAATAAATGATAGTTAAAATGACTACGCCCTAGTACTTATTCTCGTGTAATAAACATTGGCTTAAAACTATAATTTCTCTGTTATACGGCTGATTTCCACTGTCATGACACATCTCATAGACGGATAAATATAATAACAAAACAGATATAAACAGACACATGCTTCCATTATAATAAAAAGCACATTATACCACAGAAACGAATCGTTTTTTTTCTTTCTTTAAAAAATGAAAAAAAAAACAAAAACTTTTATAACATTTAAAAGATAGGTTTAGAGGATGCCAAATGCTTATCACTCGCGCTAAGTATCAAAATGGATGGATATATAGTAGTATTTTGACTTCCGTACAAAATACTTTATCACGAAAACTATACATATTGACAAAGGCAGCAGAGACAATGCGCATGGTTCATGTAAATGGTCAATGAGTAACGTTTCGGAAACTATAAACAAAAACACTAGAAATAAAAGGTTACTGAGA